TCCACCTGCCTTGGCCTCCCAAAGTGTTGGGATTACAGGCATGAACCACTGCATTCAACCTTTTCTTTTTTCTTTTTGAGACAGGGCAGGCAGAGATAATAACAGGGTCATAGCTAAGAACCGTGGGAATCACCACTCTCTGGTCACCCAGTTGGTGTCACTGATGCAGTTTCCCAAGGAGACTGGCAGTGGGAAAGACTCACTTCCTGACATAACCCAGCCCCTAAGAGAAGGATGTTTTCCGTAAATCCTTTTCTCACACATCCCCACTCCCAAAACACACCACAAACACATACCACTCCCTGGACACTACCTGAATGCCTTTGCATGCACTGTGATGAAGAGCAGTGACCTCATCCTCAGACCCCCCTGAGATGATGGTTTCCACACATGTGGACCCAGGAGCAGACAGAAAGGTTGGAAAGCAATGCCAGGAATTCAGGAGTTTGGACCTTGCATGATGCTGAATCTTTCGCCTTTTATTCTTTTGTGTGGTATAAATTTAGAATGAGGGTTGGTTTGTTTTTTCATGAATTAGTCAGATGATTGACAATGTGATGTATTATTTAGATTTTTCAATACCCAACTGCCCCCCAGCAGAAGGTCATTGTATCTACTCCAGGCTTTTTGAAACATTTTTTTTTTTTTTTTTTTGCTGAGGCAGGAGAATCACTTGAGCCCGGGAGGCAGAGGTTGTGGTGAGCCAAGATTGCACTCCAGCCTGGGCAACAAGAGAGAAACTCCATCTCAAAAAAAAAAAAAAAAAAAAAAAAAGAGAAAAAAAATTATATCATGTAGTGAACTGAAGTTTTTTGTTTTTTGTTGGTTTTTTTTTTTTTTTTAATAAAGATGGGGTTTCACCATGATGGCCAGGGCTGGTCTTGAACGCCTGACCTCAGGTGATCCACGCACCTCGGCCTCCCAAAGTGCTAGAATTACAGGCGTGAGCCACCATGCCCGGCCGTGAACTGAAGTTTTTATCACAGAAAAATTGGATTCAAAAGTGCTGCTGCTGCTTCTTTTTTTGATACGGAGTCTCGCAGTGTTACCCAGCTTGTAGTGCAGTGGCTATCCACAGGTGTGATCATAGCTCACTGAAGCTTCAAACCCCTGTGCTCAAGCAATCCTCTTGGCTCAGCCTTCCAAGTAGCTGGGACCATAGGCGCATGCTACCATGTTTGGCTCAAGAGCTATCTTGAATCTGTGAAGAGCTTGAATATGTGATGGGCTGTTGTGTGGAAAGCAGGTTTAAAAGTGTTTTGAATTCCTCTGATGTGTAGGTTTTAGATCTGAAGGGACAGGAACTGTAATCCTATTCAAAGATTTCTGGGCCAGGCACAGTGGCTCATGCCTATAATCCCAGCACTTTGGGGGACCAAGGTGAGAGGATCACTTGAGGCCAGGAGTTTGAGGCCAGCCTGGGCAACTTAGCGAGACCCTGTCTCTGTTCAAAAAAAGAAATTTTAAAAAATTTCTGTCTACAATAGCTGCCTTGATAAGTGATGCATTCCCCAGGACTACAGTTGCTCTGGCAAAGGGGGAATGACCTTTGGCAGGGCTGATGTCAGGGAGTTCAGTCCTGGGCTGGATGCTTGCAAAGGTCCATTGCAGCATTAAAATTCTAGTCTGCTTTGTTCTATTGCTTACTGTGAATATTATCAGAGATTTACTGGCCGGGTGCGGTGGCTCACGCCTGTAATCCCAGCACTTTGGGAGGCCAAGGCGGGTGGATCATGAGGTCAGGAGATCGAGACCATCCTGGGTAACATGGTGAAACCCCGTCTCTACAAAAAGGAAAAAAAAAAAAAAAAAAGTAAAAAAGATTTACTGATCTTCTCCAGAGCTTCATGGTGGGTTAAAAGGAGGAAAAATGGGGTACAAAGAAGTGAGAACCAAATTTCTTTCTTTGAAATATTTCCAGTATCCTCAGGCAAACAAGATACACTATTCAACTTAACACAATAAATATTTACTAAAGCTGACTTTTGGTAAAGCCTAAGCTTGTTGGTAAAAATTTAAATAGGAATTGAGACAGCCCCAAGAATCCTGGAGAGGTATACATTAGAACAAGTAGTATAAACAAAATGGTGTATGCTAAGGGTTCACTGAATTTTTGCACTGTATGTCCTATATGAATTCAGGGGAAGGAGAAATCCTTTATTTTGGGCAGACGCATAATTATGTATATCAATAGTGCCTTAGCAAATATTTTGTACATACAACTTACGCTACTAACTACAATAAAATCTGTTTATATCTTGACCTGAGGACTCACTACAAGTAGGGCCATGGGACAGAAGCAGCAAGCAGGCACTTGCCAGACTTCAACCACAAGAAGAAAGGCCAAGACTTTCAAAGCCTTCCTGAGTGGGGACAGTAGAGGAAGGAAGACAGGAAAACAGGGTATAAGGGGTTCTCTTCTGGGCATAATGATGGGCTAAATGATATTACTGACTAACTGGTCATTTTTTAAAATTTACTTTGTCATTATATAGGAAGCTTAACGATTTCTCAATCCTTTGATAAATTCACAGCACATCCAATTTGCCTCAATTACATCTTTACTCATTCTTTTCAAGAATTTCTGGGCCAGGCATGGTGGCTCATGCCTGTATTCTCAGCACTTTGGGAAGCCGAGGTGAGCAGACCACCTGAGGTCAGGATTTCGAGACTAGCTTGGCCAACATGGAGAAACCCTGTCTCTACTAAAAACACAAAAATTAGTTGGGTGAGATGGCAGGCGCCTATAGTCCCAGCTACTGGGCAGGCTGAGGCAGAAGAATCGCTTGAACTTGGGAGGTGGAGGTTACAATGAGCTGAGACCGTGTCATTGCACTCCAGCCTGGATGACAAAACAAAACTCCATCTCAAAAATAAAATAAAATAAAAATAAAAAAGAATTTCTGTCTTCCTTTGAAAAAGAAGAAATGAATAGGAAAATAGTAAAATTTTTGAGACACCAGATACTTTATATACATTATCCTATTTTTTGTTGAAAATGAGTATTATTATCACCTCTACTTAATCAATGCAGAAACTGACACACAAAAGTGTAATTAACTTGCCCAAGGTAATATGGCTGAGAAGAAACAATACAAACTCAGATCCATCTGGCTACAAAGCACGTGGTTTTAAACTACCCTACACTGATTTCCCACTGTCTCCTGTATGCACACCCAGCTATTGATGGTGATGATGTCGGTGAGGAGGAGAATATTAACTGCAATATACTAATGAACTCAATTATAGAATCAGGTTCTCCTGGTTCTAGAACAGAAGCAAGACAATGTTAACAACCAACACAAGAGGGACCTGTAACACCAGACTATAGGGAAACAGTGGCAGTTTCCAAAGCGAGCCTGCCCACTCCTGAGCCCCAGGAGAAAAGCAGTCCTGGCAGTACTGTTGCTGCTTCCAATACAGACAGTTCAATATTGCATTTTAATCCTTAACTGATTTAAAAGCCAACGATTATCCTTTGATTAATTAAAAAAATTTTTTTTATTTTAATTTTTTTAGAGACAGGGACTTGCTGTATCACCCAGGCTGGAATACAGTGGCATGAGCATGATCACAGCTTACTGCAACCTCACAATCCTGAACTCGAACAATCCTCCCGCCTCAGCCTCCCGAGTAGCTGGGACTACAGATGTGTCATCAAACCTGGCTAAATTGTTTAATTTTCTGTAGAATCAGGGTCTTGCTATTGTCCAGGCTGACCTTGAACTCCTGGCCTCAAGTGATCCTCTCCCCTCAGCTGCTCAAAGTGTTGAGATTACAGGCATGAGATACCACACCGAGCCATTAAATTTAAATGAGTCTGTTAATAAAACATTAAGAGGCTGGGCAAGTTGGCTCATGCCTGTAATCCCAGCACTTTGGGAGGCTGAGGCGGGCAGGTCACTTGAGGCCAGGAGTTCGAGACCAGCCTGGCCAACATGACGAAACCCTGTCTCTGGTAAAAATTCAAAAATTAGCCTGGCGTGGTGGTGGGCACCTGTAATTCCAGCTACTTGGGAGGCTGAGACAGGAGAATCACTTGAACCTGGGAGGTGGAGGTTGCAGTGAGCCGAGATCATGCCACTGAACTCCAGCCTGAGTGACAGAGTGAGACTCAGTCTCAAAAAAAAAAAAAAAAAAAGACATTAAGGTGGAATTTTGCATGGACTTCAACAAAACTACATGTGGCTTCATCATATGTGACTTTATTTTTATTTCATTAAGATTTATTTATTATCTAGATTAAATACAGAAACAATTTTCTTTTTTTTTTCTTTTTTTTAAAAAGACAGGGTTTCACCATGTTGGCCAGGATGGTCTTGAACTCCTGACCTCAGGTGATCAGCCCGCCTCGGCCTCCCAAAGTGCTGATATTACAGGCGTGAGCCACTGCGCCCGGCCCAGAAACAATTTTCATGAAAAAATATTTTAAAGTAAGCAATCCGAGGCATCTGTTTTGAATGGAAACAAGGAATCTTCTAATTTAATCCCAATAACAAATCCAGCATTCACATGAAAGAAAAGGTAGTCAAACAAGGTCACTGTGCTCCTGGCTGAACTGTGTGTTTTTCAGGAGTGGGAGAGAGAGAGAGGAGAGGATCGAATATAAGAAATTCAGAGAAGAGAGGGGAAATAGAATGAGAAACAGATGGTCTCAGATTTCCAAACCGGAATTTCTGTTTTTTCTCTTTGGGGGTTGGTTATTTACCATTTGTAATCCTATCCAAAAAGAGGAGACAGTTACAATGGCCTTCTAGTGACAACTCACACAGCTGATGGTGGCTGGAAGTCAGGCCAGCAACTCCCTGGAAGCAAGGGAAGGAGAGCTCTGGGCCCTTTGCCCCACCCGACCCCACTCGCCGCGCAGGCTACTTCTCCTGGTGAATTCCAATTTAGGGCTTGGTTCAGGCTGACTGAGAGAATGTCCGGTCCCATGGAGCCAGCCTTGGTTTGGGCCCGGGGCGGGCGGGCGTGCGTGCGTGCGTGCGTGTGTGTGTGTGTTTTAAATTCAGCCTCCGTAGAGACTGTCAAAAATTGCCAATGCCGACTATATTGCAAGTCATCATGGCGGGGTATTGGAAAAAGTATTCAATTAGCAATAATCGCGCCTCAGATAAACCTCTTTGGCTACAATACCACCACTGCGCAAAGCTGTGTGTGTGTGGTGGGGGGGGGGTTGTTGTTGTTTGTGTTTTGTTTTTGTTTTTTGTTTTTAAGACAGAGCCTCCCTCTGCCGCCCAGGCTGGAGTGCAGTGGCAAGATCTTGGCTCATTGCAACCTCTGCCTTCCAGGTTCAAGGGATTCTCCTGCCTCAGCCTTCCAAATAGCTAGGATTACAGGCACCCACCACCACGCCTGGCTAATTTTTGTATGTTTAGTAGAGAGAGGGTTTTCTCATATTGGCCAGGCTGGTCTTGAACTCCCGACCTCAAGTGATCCACTCACCTCGGCCTCCCAAAGTGCTGGGATTACAGGCCTGAGCCACCCACCCAGCCCTGTGTGTGGTTTTCATACTCAGCCCTATCCATGGTATGCAGAGCAGAGGCCCCCAGTCCACAGTGTAGTAGGGTGTATGGTGTGTCTTCTGGTTCTAAAGAGAAGCGTTTACATCTGTCAAGTTCCACTTTCACATTTCCAATTTGCTGCCATGACACTTTTTTCAACATATCTGAAATAAATTTAGCAAACCCCTCTTTTCCTGTCCTAAATAAGCTTCTCTTCTCTTCTAGACTCAAACATTTCTCCTTCACCTCCCATATCTAAGTCATTCTCAATCCTCTAGAAGGGGTGGATTTACTTCCAAAATATTTCTTTTACCTAATTTTTTATTTTTAAATATACTGCCAACATCCTATTCAAACAATTTCTCAACATCAAAGTCAGTCCTTCTATATCCCCGAAAACATGCTGATGTTTTCCTTGAGAAATGGATATCATTTATTTTTACTTTGTATTTTTATTTATTTTTATTTTTATTTATTTTTTTGAGACACAGTTTCACTCTTGTTACCCAGGCTGGAGTGCAATGGCACGATCTTGGTTCACTGAAAATTCCGCCTCCTGGGTTCAAGCAATTCTCCTGCCTCAGCCTCCCGAGTAGCTGGGACTACAGGCGCACACCACCATGCGCAGCTAATTTTTGTATTTTTAGTAGGGACGGGGTTTCACCATGTTGACCAGGATGGTCTCAATCTCTTGACCTCGTGATCCACCCGCCTCGGCCTCCCAAAGTGCTGTGATTGTAGGCGTGAGCCACCGCGTCCGGCCTTTTATTTTATTTTATTTTATTTTTATTTTATTTTTAAATATAACAGGGTCTCACTATATTGCCCAGGCAGGTCTCAAACTCCTGGGCTCAAGCTGTCCTCCCACCTCTGCCTCCCTAAAAGCTGGGATTATAGGTGTGAGCCACAGCGCCTGGCCAGAAATGTATATCATTTTAAAGTGAAAGAGAAAAAAAGCCTAGGTGAGGTGCCTCACACACGTAATTCCAACACTTTGGGATGTTGAGGACACAGGATCACTTGAGACCAGTCCGGGCAAGATACAGAGGTCCCATCTCTGTTAAATAAATAAATAAAGGGGGGAAATTCTATGGCCCTCCAGTGTTGATGTAGCTCATTTTGTGTTACGATATTCTTTAAATATACACAAAGGCCAGGCGCGGTGGCTCAAGCCTGTAATCCCAGAATTTTGGGAGGCCAAAGTGGGCGGATCACCTGAGGTGGGGAGTTCAAGACCAGCCTGGCCAACATGGTGAAACAAAAAAAAATTTTGTCTCTACTAAAAATACAAAAATTAGCTGGGTGTGGTGGTGCATGCCTGTAATCTTAGCTACATGAGAGGCTGAAGCAGGAGAATCATTTGAACCTGAGGGGCGGAGGTTGCAGTGAGCCGAGATTGCACCACTGCACTCCAGCCTGGCGACAGAGGGACACTCCATCTCAGGAAAAAAAAAAAAAAAGAAAGAAAAGAAAAAGCCGGGATCAAACCTGTAATCCCAATGCTTTGGGAGGCCAAAGCGGGCAGATCACGAAGTCAGGAGTTCGAGACCAGCCTAGCCAACATGGCGAAACTCCGTCTTTACTAAAAATGCAAAAAATTAGCCGGTGTGGTGGCAGGTATCTGAAATCGCAGCTATGTGTCTCTAAAAAGTAAGAAGTCCTTTTAAAGCACAACCATGGTACCATTTTTGTTTTATTTTATTTTTGAAATGGAGTATTGCTCTGTCACCCAGACGAGTGCAGTGGCACAACCTCGGCTCACTGCAGCCTCCACCTCCCAAGTTCAAGTGATTCTCCTGTCTCAGCTTCCCAAGTAGCTGGGATTATAGGCATGTGCCACAACACCTGGTTAATTTTTTTTTTTTTTTTTTTTTTTTTTTTTTTGGATTTTTAGTAGAGATGGGATTTTGCATTTTGGGCAGGCTGGTCTTGAAGTCCTGGTCTCAAGTGACCTCCCTGCCTTGGCCTCCCAAAGTGCTGGGATTACAAGCATGAGCCATCGCGCCCAGCTCCGCAAAAGCCTATTTTAAAGTGGACCGATTCGTGAAAAGTTTAGCTCGCGTTTGTTCTACTGGGTTCCAAGTCAAATAGTGACAGTTTTCCAATTCTGTCCTTTTAGCTGGGAGAAGGGAAGGTCCTACCATAGTGAGGCCTGGACTGGACTGAGAGTGATCGCCAGACACCTTCATCTGACAACCATTTGTGAGGAAGCTGGCCGATGGAAGGGGATGATAGTCTTCATTCTGCGACTCCCTTGGCGGTTCTCTCCCTCCTCCTGACTCTGCCATTTCCCTCCAGAGTATCCATCGACCCACGCCATCCCCCACCAGCTGCAGCTCTTCTTGGACCACGAAACACTTCCCACTTCACATCCTTCCACAGATGTACAAGTGCAAAAGCACCACCACAGCAGGAACCAATTGAAGGAGACAGTCGCTCTCTCCTCCCCACCCTTTTTGTCTTCTCTCCTCTCTCTCACCCTTCCCTTCCTCTGTCCTTCCTCCACTCTTGTCCTGGGAATATAGCATGCCTTTTATTTATTATTATTTTTCTTCTTCTTTTTTTTTTTTTTTTTTGTTTTGTCTCCCTAAAGACTCTTAAAAAATTTCCCTGGTGACTATTTTTTTAAAGATCATGGGGGGGGGGTTTGGGGAAAGTTTTTTTTTTTTTTTTTATTTTTTTTTTTTTTTTTTATATAAAGACAGTGTTTCACCATATTGGTCAGGCTGGTCTCGAACTCCTGATCTCAGGTGATCCACCCACCTTGGCCTCCCAAAGTGCTGGGATTACAGGAGTGAGCCACCGCGCCCAGCCGGGAAAAGTTTTCAGTTAGCAGTAATCGCGTCCCGGTAAACCTCATTGGCTATGATACTGCCACTGTGCAAAGCTATTATTATTATTATTATTTTTTGAGACCAAGTCTCCCTCTGTTGCCCAGGATGGAGTGCAGTGGCGTGATGTTGGCTCATTGCAACCTCCACCTCCCAGGCTCAAGTGATCCTCCAGCCTTAGCCTCCCAAGTAGCTGGGATTACAGGCCTGTGCCACCAATCACAACTGGCTAGTTTTTGTATTTTTAGTAGAGACAGGGTTTCACCATGTTGGCCAGGCTGGTCTCGACCTCCTGACCTCAAGTGATCCACCTGCCTCGGCCTCTCAAAGTGCTGGGATTACAGATGTGAGCCACTGTGTCTGGCCAGCAGGCCTTTTAAACCCCTTCAGACTAACAGCAAAGGAAAACTATTGAGGATTTCTTGAACTGGCTTCTGTCCCCTCTGATAGGCCCAGGAGATTTGAAATTGTCAAGAATTTCACTTATTTTCATTCCTCACAGATCATTTCTACAAAACTAGCTCCAGCTCTCATTTTATAGTTGTTACCCCTGGGATATTAGCAATAGGCAAAGAGCTGTCCTCCCCAGGTTTTAACGAGTAGAAATAGGAAAACTCAGGAATTTAGAGGTGGATGAACCTGGACTGTGTTTTCACCCGTACCTATTTTGTTTTCCCTTTTTCTTTCCTCCTTCCCATTCTAATCCCAGCATTACTAGTAGTTAGCAAGTTAGCTAGACCGAAGCCCATTGTAAGGATGACTTCTCCTTTAGCAAGAAAGTGCCTGCTAGGGACCGTCCAACTTTAAATACTGTGTTTTATTGTCAGGTGACATGAGCTGAGGTTTGCTTCAGAAAATATGGCGACTTCATTTATAAGTGGACTCACACCTTCCCCAGGGGTCTAGCAAGGCCTGTTTCACACTCTTTTTTTTCTTTTTTTTTGAGATGGAGTTTCTCTCTTGTTGCCCAGGCTAGAGTGCAATGGCGCAATCTCGGCTCACCACAACCTCCCCTTCCCGGGTTCAAGTGATTCTCCTGCCTCAGCCTCCCGAGTAGCTGGGATTATAGGCATGCTAATTTTGTATTTTTTAGTAGGGATGGAGTTTCTCCATGTTGACCAGGCGGGTCTTGAACTCCTGACCTCAGGTGATCTGTCCACCTCGGCCTCCCAAAGTGCTGGGATAACAGGCATGAACCACCACACCTGGCCCGCCCATTTTTTTTTTTTTTTTTTCTTTCACTGTATAGGAAAGTCTTCTGCCAGACTGCCCATTTTTTTTAAGGAAGAATGACAGCCTGTGTCCATCTTGTCTTCATTTTCGTAGTGTATGCTTCACATCCCATGAAAGCTTGTAGGGGTTCAGCAATATAGAGGCTAATAAGATGAAAGACACCTAAACAAACATCTCCAGTCGGAACCCTGATGGTATCCTTGCCCTCAGGTGTTCTCACCTGGCAGTGGAGACAGGCAATTACCTGGAATATAGATGTTGTCATTTTAGCCGTGGTCATTAAAAGCGATGTCCAATTTCTTCATCTATAAATGGCAACAGTACTGTCACCTGCCCAGGACTATTGCTGTTATAACTGTAAAGCCCCACACACGAGAGCTGTTCCAAAGCCAATCCAGTTGCAGTCTCTTCAACCCCGCATAACGGATGAGGAAATAAAGGAATGTATGCATGACTGAATGGATAAATGAATGCAATGGTTTATTTTCAGTATGAATGGAGGGATGCACCAGCTCAAAGTCTGTAGGATTTTGCAGTCTGCAATATGCTTTTTTTTTTTTTTCAAAGATGGGGTCAGCTGGGTGTGGGAGCTCACACCTGTGATCCGAGCACTCCAGCACTTTGGGAGGCAGAGACAGGAGGATCACTTGAACTCAGGAGTTTGAGACTAGCCTGGGCAATATAGTGAGACCATCTCTGAAAAAATAAAATAAAGAGACCAGGTCTTGCTCTGTTGCCCAGGCTGGCCTCAAACTCCTGGCTTCAAGCAATCCTCCCACTTTGGCCTCCCAAGGTGCTGGGATTTACAGGTATGGGCCATTACGCTCGGTATTTATGTAGCATTTAAAAAAATCTTTTTGCAGACCAGGAATACGAGATTCAGAATTGCTTAAAGTGAACTAGGTCAGAAGTAGGGGAATCAGAACTTGAACTCAGGTCTTTTCCAGCGAAGCCCAGCATCGCTGTTACTTTCATCTGGTATGTTTACCTCCTGCTGAACATTTAGATCTCAGCTTAAATATCACCTCCCTGCTGCCAGTCTTCCCTTCCTGCCCAGCTAAGGTGCCCTCTTCCCCTTCACTGTCTTTCCCATTCACCTCTTTTATTTTCTTCATTTGTCACTACCATTATTTGACATCATTTTACTTTTTGAGTCGAAGTCTACAAGGTAGTCTATGTGCCGGGTTCTGTGTTGGACTTGACCTCCATTATTTAACAAAGCAATCGCACAGCCTTATGAAGGCAGTCTGCCTCTTATCTCTATTTCACCTAAACAGAAACCGAAGTGTGTAGAGTTTAAGTTACGCTCCAGGTTTAAACAGCAGGAATGGTGTTACTCTAAGTAGAAAGGTTCTGATATTGAATTGCAATGGCCACACTTTTAAATACTGTGCCAGTTTTTTTGTTTTGTTTTTGAGGCGAGGTCTGGTTCTGTCATCCAGGCTGGAGTGCAGTGGTGTGATTTCACTGCAACCTCTGTCTCCCAGGCTCAAGGGAACCTTCCACCTTTTCATCCTCTCACTTCAGCCTCTCGAGGAGCTGAGACTACAAACACACCACCATGACTGGCTGAATTTTGTATATTTTTGGGGGGTGGAGTCAGAGTTTCGCCATGTTGCCCAGGCTGGTCTCCAACTCCTGGGCTTAAGCAATCCACCTGACTTGGCCTCCCTCCCAGCCCTACAACATCTCAAGAAAATTGGTGACATCCTATTATCTATTGATTTCAGAATGATTGAGAATTATCTAACTCAATGATATAACTGATGGCTACCATAAAGGAATAATTCAAGTTTAGTTTTTAGACTAATGGAGACAAGCAGCATTATAGGCTTCATTAATAATCTGGCTTGAAAATGCTTGTTCTAAGGCCAGGCTTGGTGGCTCACACCTATAATCCCAGCACTTTGGGAGGCCAAGTCGGGTGGATCACGAGGTCAAGAGATCGAGACCATCCTAGTCAACATGGTGAAACCCCATCTCTACTAAAAATACAAAACATTAGCTGGGCATGGTGGCGCAGCCTGTAGTCCCAGCTACTCAGGAGCCTGAGGCAGGAGAATCGCTTGAACCCAGGAGGCGGAGGTTGCGGTGAGCCGAGATGGCGCCATTGCACTCCAGCCTGGGTAACAAGAGCGAAACTCCGTCTCAAAAGAAAAGAAAATGCTTGTTCTTATTCTTCTCAACAGATTTTTCTGAAGATCATTTCACCAAAATTATGTGCTAACTGGTCAGGAAAAGGAGATAGCCCAGACGTGTATTTGGGGATGAAAGGACTATTGATCATCCCGTATCAAGAAAGTAGAAGAGTTGACTATAAATTACCGGAGATGGCAGACCACGGTGGAAAGAGTGTGGATTTCAGCTTCTGGTACTTACTAACTGTGTTTGGGTAAACCTCAACTGAGTTTTGCTTTTCTCATCTGTAAAAGGAGAAAAATAAAACTTTAGTTACAGGAGTCTTATAAGAATTAAATGAAATAATTCATATAAACTACCTGATATGTAGTTGGTGATAAGTTAACTTTATCTTTCTTATTTTTTACTATTTTTTAAAGATGGAGTCTTGCTGTGTCGCTCAGGCTGGAGTGCAGTGGCGTGATCTCAGCTCACTGCAACCTCCACCTCCCAGGTTCAAGCATTCTCCTGCCTCATCCTCCCAGGTAGCTAGGACTACAGGTATACGCCATCACACCTGGCTAATTTTTGTATTTTTAGTAGAGATGTGGTATCACCATGTTGGCCACGCAGGTCTCAAACTCCTGACCTCAAGTGATCCACCTGCCTTGGCCTCCCAAAGTGCTGGGATTACAGGTGTAAGCCACTGCGCCTGGCCGGTGATAAGTTAACTTTAGTGTCTTTCCACTGTCTCTTGTTCATAACAATTTACTGGTCCATATATGAGATGTGATTATGAAATAAAGAACAAGAGCGATATTTCATGTAACTATACTGAAATGCAAACATCGAAATTCGTGCCATCCCCAGCATAGCAGTACATCTTGGGAAGCTACCCACTTGGTCTAACTTCACTCACTGTGTTTGCTCAAAACATCTTTGGAATGCTTCTCTCTGCCAGTCAGAGCCCCGTGCAGAAGACATTCCCAGGAAATGAAATCAGTGATTTACTGTTCATCCACCACAGACTGTTACTCATCCTGAACAAGTGAATGAGTGATTATTTTCAAAACAGACCAACAGATAAGAGCAAACCGCAACCCTCGCACCACGTTACAGAGTGGCCATTCAGCACTCAGACCAAGTATCCCTCAGCTTCCCAGAACTTATTCCAGTTATGCTCAGAGAAGCACTTGTTGGCAGCTTCACCAGGAGCCACTTTCTAAATAGGGAAGTGATTGGCTCTGAGGAACAGCATGGATTAGTCATGGGAGGTGAGGGATGGTGACATTCCTGAAAACAGAGGGGACCAGAAATAGAATTACACATGTCTAGGACACTCTTTCTCTAGAGAAAGGTTTAAAAACACTGGCTCTAATGAGGGGTGGGTGGTATGTAACAAGAGGAATGTGGGAGAGAGGCAGACCCATTCAGGGAAGAGCACTTCCCTGGAGATGCTCTCCAGACCCTTTATTTGCAGAAAAAGTTGTGTGACTGTGAGCATCGCGGAGAAGAACCACTTTCCTTAGATTTCAAAGGCTAACCATGTTGATGCTCTTAGCCAGTGATTACCAGCTGGGTCTGTGGGTTTGTGAGATGCCTGTGTAGTGATGTGAAGATGGAAAAGTCCAAGAACCGGAAGGCAAGCAGCTTGGATGGCTTTGGGGCCTTGGGGTCAGTGCTAGGCACTCAGAGTGAGACCAGCCCCTGCACAGGTGACAC